TACTCCTCACCAAGTTTATATATATATATATATATATGAAGTATTTTCCGGGTCTAAATTTTTTATGAGAGATTTACATACATGCAACTCAATTGCTACGTAATTTGCATATCTAACACCTAAACATCAATATTAATTACATATATGCGTGACAACGTGCGTGTGATTCACTTTTTTGAAGATAAAATTGTGATATTAATGTAAAAAAGTAAAGTTTAGAGGTTAGATATGTAAATGAATAGCTATTGGGTGGAATATATGTAAATGCATCATTTTTTATTATACTAACATGCTCTTCAATGAACTAGGTACATGGGCGTTAAGATCCTACAGGAGAGGCTACCAGCAAAACCGGGAGCCTAATGTCATATGTGCAATGGGAAGCTGGAACGTGCTTTTTAAGTTTCTGTTATCAAACGTGTTATTGATCAGTCTGCTATCTGAATTAATTAATTAATTATATATATAGTAGTATGTCAGTAGGATTAAATAAATAAAATTTGGAAGACTTTCATACATACCATTCAATTATTATGTATTTATATATATAACACCTAGTCTTCTTCAACTTTTACACATGTGCCATGTAGCCTACGGATGAAAAAGTGTTTTTTACATTCTTAAAGTTATAAATGGTGATATTTTTCATGTGATGAAATATTTGGGTGGTTTGAATGTAAATATGTAAAATTTAGATGTCAGGCATGTAAACACATAAGAATTGGGTGCTATGTATGTAAATGCCCCATAAAATCTTCAAATTTGATGGTTACTTTAAGTTCCAAATTGAAAAAAAAAAAAAAATTCAAGTGCATGATCTTAAAATTTGTGATTGTCGTGCAGCCATATAAATTTTGACTTCGGAATGCGTCATGAATTTCAATGAAATCCCCCCTTGATCACTAAAGTAGTTTAAAATTATTGTGGACAAGAAATAGAAAGAAAAATTTTGCTAAACAGAAACAAAACGAAACATACAGATTTACGTGGTTCGACAAATTTCCTATGTCGACGGAATTATGGAGGATTTTATTACTTGAGGAATTACATCGTCGTCGATTACGTCAACAATTACATGAAGAAGTTCTCACTTCCTCTCTCTATCCGTGAGCACCAGCACCAAAGAAGAAGAAGAAGAAGAAACGAGGAAGACAAACCTTGTGATCCACCACACAACAGAAGAAAACGGGAGCAGCGGTATGATTCTTGTCTTGCAGTAAGCCAATAAGCCGAGGAAGTGGATCACGAAACAACCACCATGCAATTTTATCTTCCCTTTCTTAAGCAATCAATTGTAAAAGATGATATGGAGGAGGCTCCGGTTCGCGACTTAAAAGAGTGGGAGGCGAAGCAAAGCTTCGCTTCGTAGGTAGAGGATGCGAGAGCAGACAGAGACAGAAACAGGTATTTCCCTTTTTTCCTTTTTTTTTTCACCGGGCTCCACACTCAACAAATCTCTCACTTAAAGACTGGTACACATACAACATCGTTCTTCCTCTTCAAACTGATATTCTCCACCACTGCAACTCAAAGCCGTTGTCTTCAAGCTAGAAGACCAACTGAAGCTACGCACAACTTCAACTTCTCATGTGTAATATCCTTTGTCAACATAGAAGCAGGGTTCTTGCTTCCACAAATTTTCTCACGCAACAACTGTCTGTAAGCCACCAATGACTGTATGAATTGATACCTTATCTGAATGTGCTTGGTCCTGAACTGAAATGCTGGATTCCTGGCAAGGAATATGATGCTCTGACTAACATTGTAAACAATGTCTTTCTAATTCTTCTTGCTCAATTCCTCCAGGAAGCCCTGTAGCTATATCATATCCTTTGTAGCCTTTGACATTGCTATATACTCAACTTGTGTAGTAGACAACAAAATTATCTCCTACAGATTAGAGCCCCATGATACTGCAGTGCCACCAAGTGTATATATATTGCTCACAGCACTCCTTCTGGTATCAATGTCTCCAGTTAGATCAACATCAACATAGCTCTGTACCTTTAAACTCTTTCTTGAAAAACACAAGCAAGTTTCTGAAGAGTCTCTTAGGTACCTTAAGATCCACTTCACAGCTTCTAAATGTTCCTTACTTGGATTACTCATGTATCTGCTAACAACTCCCACTGCATGGGCAATATGCGGTCTGGTGCAAACCATAGAATATATAAGTGAACCAATAGCTGAAGCGTAAGGAAACTTACTCATGTGGTCTCATTCCTCCTCTAACTTGGGTGATTGATCCTTGGTGAGTTTGTAGTGATTTCTTAAGGGTGTGTCAACTAGTTTGGCCTTATCCATATTGAACCTGCTAAGTATCTTTTTCACATACTCAGCCTGATAGAGTCTCAACATGCATTTGACTCTATCTCTGACAATTCTCAAGCTAAGGATTTTCTTTGTCGTTCTCAAATCCTTCGTTGCAAAGTGTTCCGACATCTGCCTTTTCAAATTATTGATCTCATCGATACTAGCCCTTGCAATAAGCATGTCATCCACATATAATAGTAAAATAATATAAGAATTGTCAAAATGTCTGGCATAACAACAATGATCTTCCTAACATCTGATGTACTTTGTATTTTGCATGAAATTATCAAATTTCTTGTACTACTGTTTAGGAGCTTACTCCAGCCAATACAAGCTCTTCTTCAGCTGCAAACTGAATCTTCCTTTCCCTGTACCACAAACCCCTCAGGTTGGTTCATGTAGATGTCTTCTTCAAGGTCTCCATGAAGAAAGGGTATTTTCACATCTAATTGCCGAAGGAAGAGATCTTCAGTAGCCACCATAGACAGTACCATTTTAATGGTTGTGAGCTTCACCATAGGAGAGAAAATCATGGAATAATCAATAACATACTACTACTCAAAGCCTTGTATAACAAGTCTAGCCTTGTGCCTCTTACTGCCACCATGCTCAGTCTTCACCCAGTACACCTACTTGTTATGTAATGCCTTCTTTCCTGATGGAAGATCTGTCAGCTCCCATGTTGATTTTTAAGTAGAGAATCCATCTCCTCCTTCATGGTCAACTCCCACTTGCTTGAATTTTCATCTTGCGAGGTTTCTTCATAATTATGTGTTTATCCACCATCTGTCAGCGGAATGTAGTTCAAAGTTGGAGAGTAACGCTGTGAAGAACGTCTAATCCTTTCTGATCTGCAAACTGCAGCTGTAGGGGTGGACTGCTCTGAAACTGACTGTGAAACAATAAGAATGGGTGCCCCGGACTCACTCTCCTCATCACTTGCATTTCTGCCTTGCACTGTGACCTATGGTAAATTATTAAACCTTGTTAATTCATATTCCTGTGGTGCTGTTTCAGAAACTGTACTAAACATGTCCTTATGCATAACCTTCTCATTGAAAATCAAGTTTCTAATCCTTTTGATCTTCTGATCCTAATCATCCCATAAACGATAACCAAATGCGCAAATAACAATTCTTTGACTTAGCCTCAAGTTTACTTCAAGCATTAGGATTAATTAGAACATAAGATAAGCAACCAAAAGTTTTAAGGTGAGAAAATTTGAACTCTTTCACACTCTTGACCTCGTGAGACAATTCACAATGTAAGAGAACGGATAGCCCCCTGTTGATCAAATAAACTGTAGTGCTAACCGTTACTTCCCAGAAAGTGAGTGGTAGTTCGGCGTGCAATCTCATACTTCTAGCCTGCTCATTAATGGACTTGTTCATGCATTTTACAACACCATTTTGTTGTGGTGTCCTTGAAATGAATTTCTTCATTCTAATGCCCTGAGATGTACAATACTTTTTGAACCCACCATCAATGTACTCTCCACCATTATCAGACCTCAGACATTTCAGATTTAAGTTTGTCTCTGTCTGAATCATAGTCTTCCAAGTATTGAACACATTAAATACATCAGATTTATGTTTCAAGAAATAAACCTATACATTTCTATTGTGATCATCAAGTGATGTGATGTAGTAAGGATGACCTCCAAGAGATGCCACTGGAGAAGGTCTCCACACATCCGTGTGTACAAGATCTAGTTTTCCTGCCTTTAGCGTCCTGCCACTTTTCAAGAAACTGACATTTCTCTTTTTCCCCATAATGCAACTATCACATATGATCTGATCAACAGACTTCAGTTCTGATAGCTTGCCTCTCGACTGAAGTTCCTTCTTACCCGTCTGACTCATGTGGCCAAGTCTACGATGCCACAACTCTGTTGTGCTCTTTGCAACAGTAGTACAAACAATGTTAATTAAACCAGTAGATATATACATCGTACTTTTTTTTCCCCGAGCCAGTACCAAAGCTCCTTTAGTAACCTTCTAGATGCTATCTGAGAACACTACTGAATGTCCACACTCATCAAGATGACCAACAGAAATGAGGTTCTTCTTCAGTTCAGGAATGTGTCTGAACTTTTGTAGAGTCCACTTGTTCTTGTTTGGAAGTGCAATGTCAATGTCTTCAATTCCTACTACATTCAAAGATTCTCCATTTGTTAGATATACTTTCCCAAAGTCACCTGCAACATAATTCTGTATTAATTCCTGATGGAAAGTTGTATGGAAAGGAACCCCTAAATGCAGTATCCAGTCATCAACAAAACTAGAAACTGCCAGCAGTAGTGCATCCTGTGCTTCTTCAGTTACCACATTTGCACTGTCATACTCCGTCTTCTTCGGATATTTGCAGTTCCTCTTTATGTGGCCAGTTTTACCACAATTCCAGCAAGTTTCTTTCTAACTAGGACTTGACTTGCTCCTACCTCTGTGCTTTGATTTAGATCTTCCTCTGCTTAAGTTCATGTCCTGTGATCTCCCTCTGAAATCAACATTTAATGCCAAACTCAAACTTGAGATATAGTCAAAATCTTTCCTGCTCACCTCGTTAGCCAAAATTAAATCACGAATATCATCATATTTCAGTTTAGATTTACCTGCAGAAGCACTGACAACCATCATCATGACTGCCCAACTATTTAACAATGAAGCCAATAAGATCAGTGCATGTATCTCATTATCAATATCAATTTCTATAGATGATAATTGATTTGTGATAGTATTAAAATCATTTAGGTGTTGTACAATAGAAGATCTTCCACTATCTTAAAATTAAATAACTTTTTCATCAGTTATAACTTGTTATTCGCCGACGACTTTTCATACATACCTGACAGGGCTACCATGAGATTTGCAGTTGTCCTTTCCCTGACGACGTTGTGTGCAACAGACCTCAACAAAGTTAATCGAATAACCCCATAACTTGTCAATCCAACAATATCCATTCAGCCTTATCTATCATTTCCGGTCTTTTCCCAATAACAGAATATAAAGTTTATTTCTATAGAGGTAGTCCTCTATCTGCATTATCTAGTAATGAAAAGTTGTCATCGAATTTCTCGATCCCTAAAACCTTCACTTCATCTCATGTCATCATTCTTCCTCAGATC